TGTTTCATATGTCGCAGAGCGACAATACGCAGGAAGTCGGCGTTGCGATTTGAAGTTGGCAAACGCGAATCGAAGATGGTAATCGACGCGCTCGTCCACCTCCTAGTGGTTCCGCTGCAAGGTAAACAGTGAGGAAAGTTTCCGGTGCCGCTTCATCCATCGCTCAAAGAGCACTTCATCATCTGATACGATTTCGTCAGGGGCGATCACCACAGGAATCGTTCGCATCGCGGGTATAGGAGTGATGCGCGAAATTTAGCGCGGTACCTATCTGTTGGAATTTCTTGAGGTACCAAAAAGCGAGCTGGGAGATATTTTCATAGGTCAAGCTCAGCTTGTGTAGTGGTCGAGGGCCCGACCACGTAGACACCCAGCGATTGAGTGATCGCGTCCTTTGCTTCTGTAGCGGGACCCACCGAGTTGAAGCCGTATATCACACGAGGGTCAATGATCAACCGTGGATGCGCGCCCATGGAAGCCGCACTGCGGACAGAACCCAGCTGCTGCTTCTGCGCCTCGTCGAGGTCATTGGTAACGACACCACTTCGCCCAGAAGTCGAGAGGTCGGGAATCAGCCACGGTGTCCTCAAGGATCGAGCAGGACTCACGTTGCGCCGCTCAGGCACATCGCCTTCACTTTTTCGACTAATTCCAAATCCTCGACAAGGTAAACCATCGCCCGTGGCGGGCGCGGTGGGAGTAGACATCACATCTGTGTTCTTAGTTGTGGAAAGCTGTCGCTGGCAATGCGTTGCCTGGTTTTCGGTCACCGAGAGCTTGGACCGGGTTTGGCTACACTTAAACAACAAGTCAGTATGTGGCTTGAAAAGCCACTAGTTAGACATCAGATAAGGTTTTATTATATAGATGAAAAATTCCATACAATTAGATACAGGCGGTTTTGCCGCAAATAAAAACACGAAATACAGATTAAGTGCAAATCGGAAACGTTTTTAGCGTTGGTTGAAAGGGTTGAGATTACTCTTGGAGTAAGCAGATTACGATCAGCTAAACTTAACTTGTTCTAAATATAGAACAAAGGCCACCGATCTTAATCAAGAGCCCCCTAAGCTTGCTGCAGCAAAGCTAAAATAGAACCGAGTTTCATCATAAGTCATGGAAGACGAGTTATAGTAACCCAGTGCTAGCAAACAACTCTCTCATAGAAAGGCTCACAGCCCGAGATTGCCTGTTATTAACATCGACGTGCTAATCTGTGTGAAGCCTTTAGAACTTCCTGACTGATTAAGAAGCATCGTTCAGTTACGTACGACATGATACTGCCATAAAGAGTAGACAGCTCGCTGAGTTATTGAATTTGCGGAGTGTGGCGTGCCTTATGACGAATACAATGATGGAGAGTATTTGAGCGAAATATGAGAAATTTTACTGCGGGAGTTGGGTCTCGTCCTGGAACCAGCACTGCAATATGGTCTCAGCCTTGGCTTGGTGGAACCGTGACGGCACAAGTGTGGAAGGTGAAGTAATGAGTTTTCGCGAACTTCACGTGGTGAAACTTCGACGACTCATGACCTCTAACAGAGAGCAGAGCGCTTTTGGTGTTTGCAGGATGCTCCAATAGCTCTGTGCGGGGACTAGCCTATCAAATTTAACTGGCAATAATATTGATAAAGGTCTCGAATAGAGCTCAGAATGCAGAAACGGCAGAGATGCACAGTATCTGGATGATACAGATCTTTGCAGTCTCCAAAGCATATCTTCGTTGAGAAATTAAATCGATGTAACGTTGTAACGTTGTGGACCTTAGACTATTTTGGTGTTGGCATAGTAATGAGCAACTGCAAACTGTGTCAGGGTCGGCGGAGTTAAAGGGCGACTCTAAGTCGCGAGGTAAGGACCATGCCCTGAGAGTCTCTTATCATTTCCACGATGTATCTGTGCTGCTGAGTCAGCAACTACCGCGGTGATATCCCTGGTTCGAATCCGGACACGCGTGTGTGGTGGACCATTAAGAGCAATGAGGAATCAGCGGTTGTTGTTGTTTCACTCAAAAACGGGGCGACCAAGGGTTGTACTAACTCTCGAGGGTCTTTTTAATCACTTCGGTGTCTTGGGGACAAAAAGATGTCTAAGACACGCGAGCCTCGTACGTACATGGCGGCAGTTATACGTAAATTGTGGGTAATCATAATTCTGATGGGAAATAGTGCAACGGGGCTACAATGAAGGGGTGGGTCACACAGGATGGTGTGACCACACAACGGTTTAGCTACACCTCAACAAGAATCCACAACGTGGCGGGACTGCTAGTAGCCATGCATTTTAATTAGGTTTTCTATTTAAATAAGAGAACCTAGAGATTTAGATATAGGCGGCTCTGCCGCAAATAAAACAGTTTGCATTTTGGACGGAATAGTTTTTTTGTCTCGTGTTAAGATTGTGGGTACTCTTGAAGCTAGCGGGTTGCGATCCGCTACACTCACACTGGTTCTAGTATAGAACGTAATGTCGTCGATATTAGCCTAGCTTCCTCTAAGCCAAGAGCTACGGCAGCCCCGCTGCAATACAAGTGTGTTCAAGGGTCTTCAGTCATAATGATGACGATGACAACTTATATTATCACGCGTTGCACAACAGTTCACTTCAAAACTGTAAAACTTCCGTATTTTGTGCATTTAAAGCGCTCAAATCTCAAACCAATACATTTCAGGCAACATAATATTTTAATAGAAAAATGGAGCAAGCCTAGGTAGCGAGCGATACCGCGCTTCTTCAAGCGGCGGGATGAAGCGCAGAACTTTAATTTAAGTTTATATTTGCGGTAAACGCACAATAGATTTTGATGATAAAATGACCAGTAAACTACGTAGTAGAGTGAGTTGGATCAGCGAGTGACGTGGGCAAGAATTTGACTGGGCTCACTGGTCGAAACGTTGGCGGCTCTTTGGTTATATTATACATCAGGCAGAGTCCCGCGGTGATTATCCTTCGGTTTGATGGCTATAAGAATGAAATTTATCGGCTAGACTCGAACTCAAATTAATTCGCGCTCTCAATATGACTTTTTTTCTTTCCCACCCCAACCCTTATTGCAGATACTGGATATACATATACATAAAAAACATGATGGCTCTCGTTCCGTTACACATGAGAGTAAGTAAATTACAAACTAAGTGTACCCTTAGTACATTCCTTTCATTGGCCCAGAAGCATGGCTACACTGCATACAAGTCATTTCATTGGCCAACACGTGAACTCCTTAAGTTAATCTTGGAAAAATTAGGAAGCGTAAGGGAGCTTGGATAACATAAATATCTACTCTATCAAGTGTTTTAGAGATACATTATAACGGGAGCAAAATTGTGCAGAACTTTTTCTTATGGATTAATCATCAATGCTGATAATTGTATTGACTTGCCTGTGATTATTATTTGAAGTCTAAGTATAAATTAAACGGCAGACGTCAAATCGGAAGGAACGATGTAAGTAAACGAAATATTATGGATGCATTTATTATTTTGTAACCTATTTCAATGCGGAGATATAAGCCCAAGACAGATGATCTCGGAGAATTATAGCAGCATATATGTTTGGCCAAATATTATAATCGGAACCGTGTGGTATGCACAAAATGACTTGATTAGCATGTATAGTAGTAAGTTGCTGACGTCATCATATTGCTTTTCAGCGACGGTTGAAACACTGTTGTACAACGAATATAGATAGATTGACGTCAACGTCGTAACACAGAGTGCATAACCGCTCATTTTGCAATCATAATGGGATCTGTATAGAATCTGATACGATTTGAAGTATCAAGTAAAGAGTTGGACTCGACCGGGCAAAGCGTGAGGACACGTTGGGACGAAGACTTGGAAATTGTTGCAATAACTCTTACTGCACACACATTGGTGCCAAATCATATTGCAGATCCTTTAACTCGGGATAGCTTAATGTCAGATTTTCATTACTCAATAGACGCCCGACTCACTTATTGACGTATGTTTTAAGGCGAAGCGCTTGGTTGTACTATCCTGTATTTAAGTACATTGACATCTAAACAAGCTGGAATATTGGTCAAACAGATTTTTGATGGATTTGTTTGCACGCGAGATTATTTAAGGTGTAACTGAAATTATCATTAATGCAAATTTGGCCACCGTGACTTCAACTAAGAGTTTAAAATTTTGTTCATAGCGTCATCACATTCCAATTGATCCATAATCACTGTTAATTTTTGTTATCTGACAGAATTGACGATGATGCCGCTTTATTTATCAGTAATGACTAAGAACCAGCCCCATTCTACTTCTATTTCGCGTTGCACGTTCATGTACCATTCCTCGCGCTCAAACTCATTGAACGTCAGCTTATCGCCGGAACCCTTTGAGCGGACGAATGATGGACACCGCAGGATTTGAATGATACACTAGCCAAAGACCGCCCGCAAAGCGGGCAATAAGCTCATGGTTGATCATGAGAAGAGATATCACACGATGTGGTGGCCTGCTGATCCGATCGAAGGGAATATATTGCTACTGCAAGCGAGTATATGTTTATTTGTACTATGGGATTATGTTCTGTACATCAAACCATCAAATAAATGTTTGCCACTATGATCAGAAACAGCATTTGATTCTTACCCAATCGGGATACCTTACGCAAGACGCTCATTTGCACAGCTAAACTAGCACATCCATACAATGATGTCGGCTGTACGCTGAGACGCTCGGAGAGTGTCGATATGCCGAGAGTTTACGAGACTTAGTCACGATTAATGTAACGGGGTTACACGTACCCTGGTAACAGAGGTGTATATTACACGAGATGTGCATGGTGTGACCACACCCAAACAAGAATTTGGTACTGAGCAAGGTAGCCAGTAGTTATGCATGTATTTAGATCTTACCATATGTATTTTTAGTATATTTAGGAAAATCTAAACTTTTAAAATCAGGATAAATATATATATAAAAGTCAGTTTTGATATTT